CTGTGTCCGGCCCAGCACCGTGAGCACCTGCACTGCCCKCTGTACCAGCCTGGAAGCCCCTTTCACATACACTGGTGGCTGCGAGGGAACCCAAGCCGAGTGCTGCCSCACTACCTGTAGGGCAGATTGCTGAGCAGCTCTCCCTACTGATTACTCCTCTTAATGCTATTGAAATGTTTCGTGCTTTTCTCRGGAATTCTGGCAGCTGAATCCAGGGAGTGTCTCTGAATCCCAGCAGGATGGGGGTTTGGTGGTCGAGCCCACTGCTAGCATCTATCTGTTGCATGGGGCTGCGGGGAGGCCTGTGCGGCTGCTCTGCTCCGCAAAGGAAGCCTGGCATCTAGCGGACACTCGGGCATTGCTCCCTGTCCCCRTGCAGCTCCCAAAGCAGTGCTCAAGTCCAGGTACCTGCCTGCAAACAGGAGGGGTTTGTCTTGACTGCTGGGTTAAATTCGTGCTGCATCTGGCACCCRACCAGCTGGCACTGGCACAAGCGCAGCTGAGATGATCCCCCGTAGAGGCTACCTGTGTGCAGGACAGCCTGCTTCCTTTGCTGTGTGCTGCTTCTAACTCTATTGAACATAAGCTTGTATTTAAGTCAGTATATTTGTATATTTTGTATATTAAGTCAGTAGTTGTCACTGCCTGCTTAGGATGAGAGCATACAAGATGCACTATCCCAGTTATCCCAGGAAAAACACGTCTTACTGTCATTAAACGTCAAATATATTTTCATTAGCTGTTTTGACAGGATGAGGGCAGGGCTAAACTTCTTTTCTCCTTACGTTCTGAATGCAACATATCTCCCAAGATGACCTCTCTTTGCGTATTATGCCCACATTTAAATGATTTCTGTTCCTGTTATTTCTTATTCCACTGAGCAGTTATTACAGACTGATGGATTAGTGCATCTCACCCTGTACAGTTGCTCTGAACACATCTTTTCCTGTCAGCTGGGGCAAAGTTTTCAGTATTTAATCCTGTTGAGTTGTGACTAAGTGTGAACTTAGTCCTATTAAAAGTAATAGGATGAGTTTTAGTATAAGGTATTAGACAACAATAATAGAAGGAAAGGATACGATCCATGTGATAAATCATTTGTTTTTATGATTTATTTTTTATGATTTTTAATTTCAGTAATCGCAAAGCTAATTCACTGTGGCTACTGCTATAATTGACTCATCTGCAGCTCTGAGGCATTTTAGTTGGAAAAACAAAACAAGCGTGCTGATCTTAGCTGATTTTTGTTGAAGCATAGTCTGGAGTTATACTGCAAATCGTGCTTAAAGGTTTCAAGTTCCCTCCCCCTAGTGGATGTGAGGACACAAGCTTTGCTTTTGATTTTTGTTTATTTCTTACATCACCTTAAGCTCCTCACTCATCTCTTTTCTGCAGGAAATGGAAATGTGCTAGGGAAAACTTAGCCCAGAAGTCCCTCTTTTCTAGAGGGACTAGAAGACACTGCTTTCTAGAGACAGCWGTGGCCGAGAGGTACCTGCATGCCAGCACTGAGGAAACAGGTGGTTCCCTGGAAAAATACCCATTTCAGCTTTACCACGTGGGCCATATAGTGTCTTTGTGATGCTGTGATGGAAGTTAAATAAGAGGTAAACTAAGAAAGGCCCCCAAGGAGTCATCTTGGTGACTTTGTGATTTCTTCTTGTAAATTGCTCCTCTTCAAGTTCAGCACAGGAAGGCAGTTCAAGAATCTGATGAAAGATTTATATTAAAGCAAGAAAGAATCATTAAAAAAGAAATAGCTGGAAGGGATTGCAAGATGCTCCAGGCCATTCTGTGCCCTATGGCAGCATCAACTGCACCCCACCAGTTTGCACAGGTGTTTGTGTGACTGGTTCTTAGGAGTCCCTGAGTATACAATGCAACCCCATGTTACGCCCCAGCATTGAATCATCCCTGCCCTTGGTGAGAATTTCCTTCTTTAATGCAGTCTTGCTTGGTTTTTCATGAAAATAGGACAGATGTTTCTCTATTACTTGCTGCATCTTCAAGCTCGTTTGAAGTTTCCCTGTTCCTTGTCTTGACCAGTCCTGTTCATTTAACATAGGGCCATGCAGCCACTTCTGGAGYTGAATCCTAGCTGATGATTTTGGGCTCATGGGCCAGCTGCAGGATGCCCCAAAACACAGTACGTCATGGTGACATAGTGCAAAAGCCTTACGTTGATTGTATGTGTGTGGTGCATGTTTTCGGGGGGGGGGGGTTGGCTGTTGTGGTTTTTGTTTCCTGTTTTACAAATCCGTTCTGGTTGTCTTACAAATGCAGTTTGTAGAGGAGAAAAGCAAGTATTTGTGTGCGTACGAGTGGGTGTTGATGCATGCACTGTGGTATTATTTTGGTGAGACTCGGGTGCGGTTGTGTAAGCCCCAGGGCCAAACAGCTTTCACTTCCTCATTACTTTCACTGTCTCATCCCACACGCTGTGACCCAAGGTAGACGCTGAGTGCGTAGGACTTAGAGGCTACCGGCACCTCAGGGAGGTGCTGAGGGAAGGCAGATGCTGGACCCAAGGACTGCAACCTTTAACAAGGCTTTCAATGAGCCAGGTGTTGTCTCGAGCACTGTGGTGAGCTCAAGTGCAGCAGAAATGTGAAGCTCCCCAAACTCTTCCAGGGAAGCCTTAGGTTTTTCTCCARCTCTACATAAGCTCGTAAGGAATCGACAGCGGTAGCAGGAAGCCCTGTGGTGTAAAGCAATGTATGAAGATGCATTTCATGCCCCCGAGGTTTTCATTAGCTGGCCTGCCACTAGTTCAGACTAGTCCTRATTTCATTTATTAAAACAACAGGAGGAAATGTTAAGTCTAATATTGTTATATCATCAGGTCCACAGGTTAGGTACCCTTGGAGGCATGTAAAAAGGAAGTGGTGACAGTCTCTGTAGCTGCCAGTCACACTGAAAGTGTTAGTGCAATGTACCTGAGAGACAGGACATTCTACTCCAGCTCTTCAGGACTGAGCAATCCTTATTTCTCCCTTACTTAAACAGTTATTGCAGTGTTGATATTGCACTCAGTGTCATTACATTAAGATCGTGAATGGACTTTGAAAAAATACATAGCATTTTTAAAGGCTTATTTATATTTTTAATCTAATATCTAGTTATGGAGACATATAATCAATACCTTGACAATTTTGATTTTTTTCATAAGTGGAAAGTATTTCTGCGAAATACCCTGTGGAGATCCAGCATTTCTGCAGTCAGCAGGAGGTCAGGCAGTCTTCCTGTGGCTGCTGCTTGAGCGAGCCCTGCTTTATGTCAAGTTAATAGAAACTCTGAGTATCAAGTAGGAGATGGGCATGCCCTGCTTTGATGTTCATGCATAGTTCCCCTCACCATACATAAATATATCTCCATTGCATAGCAGATGAGCATGAAATAGGATTTATTAAAAGCAGAGAGGACAAGGTGCAAAAGCCAAGAGGTGAGGCCCTCGCAGCGTGCGGGACGGTCGGTAGGGAACACGTTGCCAAGAGGAGAGGTTCCTGTGATGTGGGCATGATACTGCCGTGTCTCTCCAAGCCCCAGGGCACCAAGGCCGCTGGGGATGTCCCCAGGGAGCTTCGTATTGCAGCTGTTCCACTTTGCGATCCTCACCATGGCACATGAACCATGATCCTGGCAGATATCAAGGGCTGCAGTAGCCCAGAAATGCCCTATGGGCTTTTCTCTTTGAGGCTGCTCTGTGAGAACAAATCCTTACACACACACAACCCAACCCTCTGTCACTGCCATAAAATTAGTTTAGACAGGAGGAAAAAAAGACAATTTAAATGGAAGTGCCAAGGACAAGAAACTCCCTAATAGTGTGGAGAAAACGTAGTATCAGCCTTCCTTCATAATTACTATTATAAAGAAATATATTCACAGGTGTTCACATCAATCTTCAAATTAGTGTGATTTTCCATGGGAGCCTGTAAGATCCATGCGGTATGCTGTAGTATTTAGCCAGGTTTCCTCAGGAGGAGGAGCTTCTCCAGCCAGACAAATGGTCCCTTCCCAATGGCCACGGGGGCCTGTGACACGGACATGGACATGCAGTAACGTGCCAAGGAGAAGCGCCGGTCCCCACAGAGCTTCCCCTCGGAGCCAGCTGTGCTTGGCCAGGTGAGAGCCCCATGAAGGGGCTTCAATGGGGAGCTGGGGCACTGTGGAGAGGAGCTGGAGGGCCAAGAGATGAATTAAGAGGAGACCAAGCTTAATGAGCTCTGGTGTTACCACATAAAGCTGTTTTACTTTGTAGTGGCTCAGGGAGAAAGCAAATTGGGGCACGTAGAGGCCTTGGGATGCAGTAGTGGTTAGTTAAAATGCATCAAGTTTGGCAAAGTCCGGAGAAGCAGAGCAGCGCGGCGTGGGAAGGGGCAGTATTGCACACCAGGCTTAAGCATCAACCAACCACACAGATTCTCTGCAGAAACAACCGTGGAAACAAGTGAGAATGAACCTCAAACTGTTTTTTTAAAAAACAGYGGATATATTGCGGATGTGTAGTGTCTCTAACAACCACCTGAAAATGGGTCATTTTTTCAAAAAGTGCATAACAGTTTGAGATAACATTTGCCCTGCATGAATGAAATGGGTAATTGCTACAATTTTCCTAGGTTTTACAAATTTTGGGGTTTTTTTGTCATTGTCTTTGTATTAAAATTAAAAAGTGGAATCCTCATCTAGGAGCAGTGGTAGAAATTAAAATAAACTAGCCCTCTGTCTTTTGTTTTTACAAATAAAACCTAAAAAAAAAAAAAAAGAGTAGTCTTGGGTTATTACTCGAATATAGCTAAAATGCAGGTGAGGAAAAATAGCTTTTCTATTAAATGTGAACTGCTCTAGACTAACATTTTTGTAGTATCTTCAGACATGCACARAAGTGAATTATGTTTTACAAAACTAGTCGCATCTTATCATTTTTACCCAAAAGGTATGTTTTTTCTTTATTGCATCCTGACTAGAATAAGCTGCCTTGGATCAGGCAGTGAAAAGGGGCACCCCTTGGTAAGGAAGAAAGGAGACAGACCTGAGGCCTCACTCTGCAGCTCTCGTGCATCAAAACAGTTTGGACATTCGCATACTGAGGTACAGTGAGGTTGCCAGAGCCATGTCATGTACTACCTGCAACTCCCATTGCTCTTCACCTGCAGGTGTGTGGTTGCTGATGATCACTAATAAGGTGGGAGCTTCAAGGGCTGCATAAAATGATGAGTTCTCTGCATCTGGATAGACCCCGATGTTTGTTACCAAGCTGTTAAAATGGTTTGATGTTTATATTTACCAATGAAAATGGTTGATCTGTGTTGAATTAAAAGAAAAAAGTAATTGTAACTTGATGGTTTTTTTTTTTTAACCCTTGCAGTGTTGGGCCATTGCAGCCTGAAATCCCCATTCATTGTTTTGTACAAACTTTTATTAAGGGCTCACAAACCACCTGTCATGCTTTTCCCAGTCAAGCCAGATTAAGCAGCTGTAATGTAAAGCAATTATATATAAAAACATATAGATTCCTTTCAGATTCCTGCTAGCCAGACTTAGCTTTATCCTTCCACCACGATGCCTTACAAACCTCCCTGAGGTCTGGGGCGATTCCTCTGTTCCCCATGTCTAGGATCCATGTGCTCAGGCTGGATCCAAGCCCAGGCCCTTTAGCTGCCGTCCCCAGCTCCTCGCCAGGTAGTGGCCCTGGCTGGTTAAATTCAATTTCCCAGCCACAWGGTAATATTCCTCACTGAGGAATGGCACCACCTGGTGCGGCCCTGTGTCGGTGAGGGCCTGTTCCTGTTATTTACCCTGGCTGCGTGCACGTACAGCCTGTGTTCCCGCCTGGACAGGGTGGGGAAGGGCGCCCCGTTATCCCAGCCCAGCTGCCCGCGCCAAGGGCGGGGAGGAGGCGGGGGGGGGGATGTATAAATATATAAATAAATAAAAAAGGCGGGAAAGGGCGGGAGGGGCGGGCGCTGGCGTCATCGCGGCGCGCCCGCGCTCCGGGAGGCAGCGCGCCCGCGAGCCGGGGCCGGTGGTGCCGGTGGTGCCGGTGCCGCCATGAGCGTCCTCAACCTGGAGCGGTTCCGCTTCGAGCGGCGGCYGCGCTGCGCGGGGCCCCCGGCCGCGCCCGCCCGCGGTGAGTGGCGGCGGGAGCGGCCCCGGTTCGGGTCCCGGTCCCGGCCCGTGCGCCGCGGCGGGCGCCGAGGGAGCTGTCCGTGCTGAGGGGCCCGCCGGGAAGGGAAGGGAAAGGACGGGAAGGGAAGGGAAAGGCGGTGCTGCCTCCTCGGCTTGTCCTGGGGGTTGTTTCTTCTTCAGTCYGTCTGTGGAGTTGTTTATTTCAGCGCATACACGGAGATAAGCCTTGTTTACTGAGGCTAAGAAGGCTTAGAGCTTGTATTATTTTAATATTTTTAAGTGTAGGCCTCCTTTGGTTTATATTCTGGACAGATATAGTTGAGGATGGATGGATGAGAAGGGCTGCAATGCACAGGTAGAAGCGCCGGGGTTTCCGTATGGTTTCCATAGGTTGTGTGCTAGAAGGAAGGATGCAGGGCAGCCTGCGGGAGGGACTGCTGTGGAGGGGTAAGAAATACCCCGAAAACCYACGGGAGAGGATTGTGCAAATCAGAGTGCAGGGGGTGGAACTCATCCGCGTGGAATTTGCAGGAATTGCCCAACTTAAATGGGATTCCGTGGATACAGATGCTGGTGGAGAGCTGGGATGCCAGTTAACGCTCCAGAAGAATATGCAATTACTGGAACTCTGCGTTTATACAGAACACTTCATTTCTTGCAGATGCCGAAGGTTTGTAGGTGGTGACTTCATCRCGAGGGCTTTGGGACCTTCCCGCCCACACTCGCACCTCAGTACCCCAGTGGTTTCATTTAACCCATTTCAGCGAGTTCATTAAGCCTCTGTTTTAAAGAATCAGTATTTCCTGAGACTGAAGAAGCCAGCAGAAAATAAACACCCAGATTTTGGTCTGCAGGATATAAAGCACTTAAATGCAAAATGGTAAACTCTGTTTGATTAGCCTTAGATCCATGCCTGCCTTGTTTCCTAATCAGTTCCCTAATCGTTTTAATCAAATCAAGCTGGCAGTTACTTAGAAAAGTCCCATCTTGGTTTTATCCTACTTTCATCTTAAAAAAAATGATGGAGAGGTGAGTTGCTTATGATGCTGCYGTGTATTGGGTCTGTTGCTAAAGATGTAAGTCTAAATAGTGAGTTGGTTTGGTACAAGAGCCTGCTTATGTTAAGGTAAGTACAAGCAGTTGGCTCCAATTGCAAATTAACTTGTGTGAAGGTGGAAGCGCAGCAGAAGGCAAGCACAGAGGCCCAACAAAATATCCATAGGTGCCAGGTGAATAAAGGGGAGAGCAAATCGATTAACCAACTTATGCCTTTATTTTGTTTTTCTCTCTTTTTTTTTTTTTTTTTTAAACCTAGTCTCTTTAAGGAATCATATTGTGTTTGTAGAACTAATTTTAACCTTTACAGTCAGACTTCTTCCAAGAYGTCAGCTGCTTCATCAAGGTTTTGTAGAGATTTCTTTGCATTTCCGTTTTCTCTTATATCTCAATATATACATAAATCAATTCTGTATGCATTTAGAAGGGTTCTTCAGATGTGTTGTGCCATGCAACACATGAATAGTTTTTTAGTGGTCTTTTTTGTTTTCCTAGAGCAAACTTGGATTGTTGGGTTATTCTACACCCACGTATGTTGTTCTTAGCTCTTTTACAGTTACTTTGTGATTGCACATGGCATGGATAGATACCATACATTTTAAGTAGTGTGTAGTTGTAATAACTAGAAGAATTGGTCATTTTTATCTACTTCTGTTTGGATAGTCGGGTAGACTCACAGTCACCTTTTAGCCAGATTGTAGGAAGTGCTGAAAATGACTTGATTGCGGGGTAGGAATCAAGTAAGGGGACACTTATTAGATTGTATTGTATCTGAAAGAAAGATGGAAAATTTATCTGATTTTTCTCCATATTTTTCTGTAGAGATTAGAATAGCTTACCAACTAACACACACGTTTAGACTTTATTAGTCATAGAAAATGGTGCTGTGCCCAATGGTGAATAGTGAATGTGTCTTCATTTTAAAATCAGTTTTTTAACTTTTTTTTTTTTGAATTCTATGAAGAGCTTGCTGTGCTCGGGTAAGGAGATTATTCCTGTTTCCTTAGCTTAACGTGGAGCAGATCTGTATTCAGAAAGCAAGTTGTAAAACCACGTTGTGGCTGAAATTAAGTGATTGTATGTATAAATATTATATATATATATATATATGTAATGCTGCTATTGGTAGTTGATTTACTTGCTGTCCTCTCCCTACACTTCCAAAACATGACTAAGGATCCTTTGTTTTAGGTACAAGTTCTGTTTTCTTTGGGCATGTTGCATTTTAACGTAAATATATTTTTAATGTACATCTACCTTTGAGGTCGTGTCTTCCCTACCTTCCTGCACGGCTGCATAGATTTGGTCTCAGGTGCAGCTGACGTAGAGGGACATATTCATTATTCATTGCCAATTTAGGAACTATAGATGCATAGATCAGCTCCTTATGCTTTTGCTTGTCCAATAAGGCWGTGCAAAAGGGAGATGTTGGTATACGGCAGCGCGCACCCACACGAGTGGTTCTGCGGGTATCTTGAGGAGGAGTGTGTGATGGGCACGATGTCTCCAGGAGGATCTGTTCTGATTAGCTGCAGATTCTGAACATCCTGAAAGTACACAGAGTGTCTGTACATTAAATTTCCTTGTTAGGAACAACTTGGAGGTTAATGGGGAAAAGATGGTTGAATCCTTGGAATTCTGGGGGGGCTGCAGCTTCTCTGCTCTGGAAAGCTGCCTGTGGCCAGCACGTTGTAGATCAGGCACAGGAGTGTTTCTGTCCATGTTCTGATCAGCCTGGAAGTAGCTACCTGGAGGACTCTGGTTTATTATTTTTCCAAAAGTGTGATATGTTGGGAGAATTATTTGTCTAAAATATATTATCTCTTAAGTTTACGGTTTTATTTTGTGTAATAAGAGGCCTGAGGACTTTTTGCCCCTTTAAAGAATTCCAGATTGCAGGATCAGCGCCTGAGGATGAGCTTTGTGTCTGTAGTCTCTGTGCATCAGGAGGAAACCTTAGTTTTCTRGTGCTGTAAACACAACTGAATATTTGGAATTTTAAGTGATATTTTTCTCCTGTCTTGTCTCCCACTGAATTACCTTGGACAGAGAACTCCTGCATCCCAGAAACACCAGAAGATAAAAGGACRACAAAATTATCTTATTTCAAGAATCAAAGAATGCTGCATTTCTTAGACGTGTCTGCAGACAGTGAGGATGAGGAGCCCAACAACTTCAATGCTGCCAAAGAAAACCATGCTCCRCGGAATCACGTAATTGTAATGTAAGCTTTAAGCTTTTTTTTGTTAACGTTTATGCAAGCCAATATAACAATCCCTGATTGAAAAGAGATTCTGTTTTGTGGATTAAGTACTTGAGCTTCTGACTATCTGCCCCTAGGAAGCTCTATTGGATTTTCAGCAAAATTATTAGCTCTTAAGTGTCTTCCCCCTCAAAACCATGTTTTCAGAGAATAATCCCATGTTACTGAACAATGCCTGTCATGTTGCATGTTCATCATCACGTCCCCTCTGAAATGCTTTTGATGGCATGCCTTCAAAATACTAACTTCCAGTTTTAAAATATACTGGCTGTTTTTTTGGCTTGTTTTCTTTTTCCATGTGGACAGGAAGGCAATTGCTGCTTCAGTGTGTAGTACAAGAGTTCCCAAGCTGAACTGCTAGGGCTTCATTTTCAGAAATACTAGAATTAGGTCCATGATACTTTGCTTTTTAACTTATTGAAAAGGCTTTTTTTTTTTTTTTTCTAAGTGATTTGGAAACTTGTTATAGGAATTAATTGGGAACGAAGAGACTAGTAAGCAAGAGGAAGTTGCCTGGGTGCAAATTTTGTTGCCAGGAAGGATTAGTTTGACCAAACTACTCTGTGGTAAAGCTCTTTGGGAGAAGAGAGGCTTGGTCTCATTACATTTTTGGTCCTTGGGCAGAACATGAAGGTGCTAGAAATGCAAAAAWTGCTTTTCCCTGCTGTAATTATCTGAAATTCTTCAGTTTCTGTTTAATGCATCTTTCCTGCAGTTTTGACAGGACAGGAGGCAGATGGGTGCTAAAGAAACTCCCTGTGTTTGGAAGCAAGCTGTGAAAGTCACTCTGTCTTTCTCTCAATTCCTTCCATGCTAGATTTAGAGAGTTGGTGAGACTCGTTTCTCAGTTAAATGAGCATTTCTTYGTGTTTGGGAAAAATGGGGTTCTGTTGACAGGGTTGGATTGAGGATTTGTGCAGCTCTGGTTTTGTTGACAAGCAGCTGCGTGTTAATCCTGGATGGGGAAGGATTGAGCCACTTATAACTGTTACTATTTCAATTTCAACTAGTCCTTAAATGTGGTTTATAATGAAACTTTGTTGCCTTGTCCAGGCAAAAGGATTTGAAATAAACGAATTGAGTTTGAGCATGGCCTTTCACTGGGCTTCGTGGATGCTGGGTTCACCTTAAGATTCYCACAAGCTTCCTTGGTTAGTTTGAAGAGGAGTTTGGTTACTGCATTTGGAGGTTTCCTGTTGTTGATAGTCAAAGTAGTTGTGTGCTCTTTGAATAGGATGGGGGAAAAAAGCATTATTTGATGAAAAGTTGGCTCACCACTGTGCATATCTTCTAARTGAGAGGAATATTCCTGCTTTTCCAGAAATTGTATTGTGATTTGTCTGTTCTTGAAGAAGGATATGGCCAGGAAGACAGTTGTTTTCCTAGTCTTTTACTTAAAAGTGCATAGAGAGATGTGCAGGCAAGTCTGTCTGATGTTGATGGCCCTGTACAGTGGCAACGTCCATACAGCTGAATTGATTTTAGATGAGGAAAGTAAGTATGAGTAGGTATTTTACCTGGAAAAAAACCCTAAAAGTTGTATTTGTATCTTCTTATCCATTGGGCAGTTTAATATACTAGCAAGACTGATTGAGACAAAATAAGATGGTTGGTCTGAAAATGTATCTGAAATGGTGAAATGTGCTGAGCTGCTTATTGCTAACTTGACAAGTAGCACCTTGCAAGGGTAAGTGCCTATTGCCCATGTCTGTCCCTCCTTCCCTCTCCCCTTTGCACAGTAGAAATGTCCTCATTGCAAACGGAAGAGTAAGCTTAACAGGTTGTGCTCTGTTTTCTCCTGATTAGTASGTATCACGTTGGCTGCAAGCTGGTTCAATGCTATTGAACACATCTAACTGTTTTCTAAGGAAGGAAACTGTTTTTTTGTCTCTCCTCTCCCTTTTATGATACGTGAAGAGATCTTGAAAGTACTTCTTGAAAAGTGGARAGAATAACAGTTTTGGTGTTCAATTTAGGGTCATATAATATGTATTTCACTTCCTTCAATAATGTGTGGTACCTCTTGAGAATTTACAGTTCTTAATGAATCTTTAAGCTATTAACAGTTTAACAAAAAATTCCAGTTGTGCAGTGCTATTGACCCTTAGTTTGTACCTATAGTCTGTTAAGGTAAAGCATTCTTAAGAAGCAATAAAGTGTTAAATTTTTCCCTCTGCTCTTCTCTGGCAGCCCCCAGAAGTCTGAWGATGACCGGCTTGAAGATGAAATACCCAAACTGTCCTACAGAAATGGTGGGGATCGAGGGCTGGCCTTGCAGGAGGACCGAGAGGAAGACATCAGAGACGCAAAGCTGGAAATGCTGAAGGAACTTTTTCCCCAAAGAAGCGACCGGGAATTATTAGAAGTAATAATACTGTCTTCTTTTAATTGACTGGAACTGTTTTGTGGGGATTAGTGCTGTGCTTTTGGTGTTATTGGAGGGAAGAGCCATACCTCCTTGGTCTTTTAGGTGTACAGTACAAATTTACAGTGACATTCTGGTAACTAGTTATTGCACTAGAACTGCCTGTGCTACAGTTAGGGGGTTTCTCATAAGTTTATCTTTCAGTGTTGGTGTATAATTAGATTTGTGCCAGCTTGAGTTTTCCAAGCACTGGGCATTAAATCAACCAGATAAGTTTCCTAATAGCTGTATGGTCATTAAATACGTATGGAACTCARCAGGTGTTCCTGGCTGGGTGTTTTTCCCTTTATCTGGTGAAGCACTGGTACATGCTTTATACCTGGGGCTCAGGAAGAAAGAAGGGGCTGAAAATAGCTTTCTGGGGAATGTTTCACTTGGTAGATATAACACGAATAGCACCAGAGATACCCAGATTGTATGGGGTGCTCTTGACCATAGTGAACGTGTCTGAGGCACAGGCTTGTCGTAACAGTCCATTGTAGCCTTAAAAAGAGGCAGAAATGGCAGTTTCCTGGTGGGCCTGCTTGCAGTTTCAACTGCTGATGACGTTTGAACTGCTCAGTGACATCATTCGGTTGTGCTCCTGATTCCGGCCACGGCAACAGAGCCACAACATTCCGGAGGGTGGACGGAGGAGCGTTGAGCCAACCTGGGCGCTTCTGCTGGTGCGGGTTGTGGAGCGGCTCTTCTTGCTGAACTCCGGGCTTGGGATGTAGGGACTCTTCAAGAGAACCTGTAAGAAACGCTGTCCTGCTGCTTGTTGGGAAGGAGATGGTGTGTTTGTGGCGGGGTTGGAAGGTGTTGGTTGTAAACGTCATCGGCTGTGTGAGAGTCGGGGCTCCTAGTAGCTTCATTCTGTGTTTGTTGTTTGTAACTTTTAGGCGTTTTGCTCTGTGGCAGTTGACATGCTTAGAGTCACTTTCACAAAGCTTCCTGTTCACTTAACTTGCTGAAATGACCCACGTGGAGGTCATGGGTGGAGGAAGGCAGGAGGTAGGAGCGTGAGGAACATGGCCTCTGAGAGGCACTCGGCAGTCTCAGAGATGTGCTTGGAGGAAATCAACTGTGAGAATGTTATCAATGTATAGCAATATATTGAAAAACTTAGGAAACCGTGTTTTTTGATCTTTAGGTTATGTGCCTCACATAAAATAGTCTTAGGAGAAGACTATACCTTGCTTAAACCTGCACCATGTTTGTGAAGTAGAAGATTAGGAAAGTAAGATTTGTTTTAGAAAACATTTTCAGTAGTTCTGTGTTTTCTGTACTTCAGTTGTTTTGATTTATTGTGGCCTTCCTCTGTTCAGTGAAATCCAGCCCTTAGCAGTTGTCCTTGTTCTTTTCCTTCAGTTGATAGAGTCAGCCTACTCCATGGATGACCGAAGATCTGCTGTTTYGAAGTCCAGCGGTGACGGTATGTCTGTAAAAGCTTCAGGAGCTGTACCTGATTCAGTGAYGTCAACTTTGGGGTATTTAGCAAGTGCTAAAATGTACATTAACATCTGCCAGACCTTAGATGTTACATTAATGTGTGCCAGTACATAGAGCTTGTTTGGGATGTTACCCTGATAGCACSAAACAAGACTGCCACGTGTAAGCCCCGTGTAAGAGGTAAGTGTGGACAAGGGTCACTCTTGGTGTCCGCMCGAGTCCACGTTACTTTGTGTGATTCTTTCTTACTGATTTACTGTGTACAGTGGGCAACAAACCGATCCATTTTAATAGTTTCCATCTAATTGGAGTTGGAGTCAGTGATGCCGGTAACTGAAAAAGTTCCCAGTTATTTGTCGGGGAGGATGCTACTTTTGGGTGCCCCTCTTGCAAAATTCCTGCTTGGACAATGATCACTTCTGGAGGGTTTTGATTAAGCCATTTGAAGCAAAGATGCACCTTCAAACCTTCTTGCACTTTGCTTGGACTAAACCACTCTGATATCTAGTATGTGGGCTCTGCCTTTTGGCCGTTTTTGTGTTGATCTAGGAACACCATTTCATACCCTTTCAGTCTGAGCCTACATGAAAAGAATCTTCTTGGCAGGCAAATTCAGACTAATTCCAGTTGTAAAAGATTGAGTTAAGAGTAAACATGTCTGAAAATGATAGCATAAATCATCTTGTTCTGGACGCGTTTTTTAGACATGGAGACATATTGAACATCTGCCTCCTATTTCAGTGCCACAATTAGATGAAACACATGGATAATGTGCATTACTGGAAGAAACAAAGGTCTCCCAATACCTGCCTCACTTACTCTGGTTCCATATGTTGTTTTCTGCACGTCTTGAAAGCGCAGAAGTAGTACAGAGCTGCTTCTTGCTCTCAGCTGTATGTTCCCTCAGCACAGGAAGGAATAAGTGTGTGCAGCTTGCCAAGCACCTTGTTGAATTTCTAAGTGTACGACTTGAGAAATGCTTTTCTCACTTGTACTTGTGCTTGGTTTCAGAAGACCGCAGATTTATTTGAAATAACTCTCTGGCTAACCTGATGAGATTATAGTTGCCCCCTAGCATGTGTTAGGTTGCCTGTAAAGTTGTTCTTTTCTGCCTTTTTTTTTCCCTGTCGCTTCTGTGCTTGATGGTTGAGAGGGCAAGTACGAAGGTAGTAGTGCATACGTTTGAAGTGTGTGTGTGTGTGTGTGTGTGTGTGTGTGTATATATATATATATAAATGTATATATGGAATGGTTTTTGAGTAAAGATGCACTTACTGAATTTTCACAAGTGAAATTATTCTGGTCGTTTGATTTGGAAGTGAGCAGGCCTTTTTTAACTTGAGGGGTCAGCTGAGTTATGCCCTTGRTAAGTGATTGTCCTCTGCAGCCTGGGAGGGGTGATGGGCTGGAGATGCTGGTCTTGRAGGCTGAAACTCTGTGGGCAGCCTGGGTACCAACAAGGAGAACTTGTGGTACTGGTGGAATCATTGAGCCTGATGATTTTAAAGCAGTTTGGGCTGGAATAAAAGCATGTCCAGTTGGTAACTGCGCTTCAAGCAGCGACTGCTAATGTGGAGAAATAGCAGGAAGGGGCTCCTAACCCGCTGGTGGTGGCTTTTGGGAGCACCCCTGACGAGGCAGGTCGTAACGAACTCGTAAGATGATCGTCTTCAATAATCTGTGAGGCCCAAAGGCATTTGGAAAGTTCTGACTCATATGAACTATCCATAAATAATGAAGTTATCACTGAATATTTTGTTATGACTGACAGGCTTYATAAACATGGCTTCTTTTCAGGTACTTGAGTCTCATGTTGAAAGCTGCTTGTCTGGGAGCCTCTCTGGTGTGCACCTAAGCCAGAAATCAGTCATCACCATTTTCAGTTTTGCAGTAACGTGCAAACTCCAGCTCATTTGGTTTTGGTATTGACTAAACAGCTGCTTTCCAGAAGGAGTCAAGTGAAAAATATCTTGCATTTGGAAAGCCACTGCTGTTTAAGAGAGCCGGACGAGCTCCTCGATGCAGCTTAGGAGCTCTGTGTCTCCTGACTTTCTTGTGTCTGGCTCCGGTGTGTCCCCAAGTWGCACGTTAGAGACGCAGTGTTTCTGGTCTCAGAAATTACCTGGTTGACAAAGCTCATTTTCCACCAGAAAGCTGCACACCTTAGAGCTTTTACTTTTCCATCTCACTCCCCTAAAAACAGGGGAAGGTTTCTAGGATGGAATAACAAGGGGGTTAGTAAGCAAGAAAGGGCTGCAAGAAGCCAAACCTCGTGCCAAATGTTGAGTTGGTCTTTTGGAGTCTGGCCAGCTGACTTGGTAATGGCCACGATGGTTACCTCTTAAGAGGGATGCTTGTGTGGAGCTCAGGTGAGCTGCATCTCTCAATGCTGATTTTGTTTGTGGGTTGTTAGTGGGCTGCTGCAGGGTTGTGTCCCCTCCCGAAATACTGAGACTGAGTTGTTAAAAGGCAAATATGTTTTAAAAAAGCTCCTTTAGTTAAATCTGGAGAAGAATAATTGTTCTACTGTCTCTGCCAGTGAGCAGGCACTGAAAATGTCTCTTAAAATGTACCACCTTGTGGTACCTTTAGAAACAGCAGCTTCTGTAGCACTCAAGTGAGTGATCCTACCATTTTGAGGTGAACTTAATGACAGTAATGTCCCTTTCTTTTCTGTTTGTTGTTTTTTTCTAAGCAGTCTCTCGTAAGAGGAAATCAAAATGTTTTCACACAAATGGTGACGGCAAGGATAAACAAGCTGCAAAAAAGCAAAAAGCTGCTGCTGTAAGTATTGTGTTGTGTTGTTTTGTCTTGGTTTTTTTTTTTTTTTTTTCTGTCCTGACTTCAGTATGCACTATTAGAAAATCATGTTCTGGCAAGTCCTGCCATTTGCATGAGGTTTTAGCTTTTGTTAGTTAGAGCAGTGTTTCTGTGTCTAGGCTTTCATTTCCTAGTAAAACTAAATTTTGTCTTTTTATGACTTTTTCTCCACTCCAAACCTAGAATGTTTCCACATCCGCAGAGCTTGTAAAGAAGCTGAAGGAAATTTTCCCTGAATTGACCAAAGAGGTGAGTTCTCACAACTCATGAGGACAAACTTGATTTTGACCTTGTCAGAAAGTGGTAGTTGTGCAGAGGATGGTTTCAGTAGGACCAGCCCTAGCAGCACATGCAGCAAGAACTCAGGGTCTCCAGGGTTAGTGCTTGGGAAATGCAGTTCGCTTTGAACTGAGCCTTGCAGATGAATGCAAGGAAGGCTACACAGAGCTCCTTGTTCTAGTTTGTGGTCCTGTGGCAAGCCTGGCACTGTCCAATTCGGTGATGTGTTATAAAAATGTGGGGGGGGAAAAAAACTCAGATGTAGTCAGTCACTTTATGCTGTGGATAAACAAAAGAATTCTCATCTTGATTTTTTCTGAAGCACCTGACCTACAAAGTGTAATTTCTTACTCTATTATGTGTGTACGGAAACAAATACGTTTTTTTTTTTTTTTTTTCCCAGGAGCTGCGAATTGTTCTGGAGGAGCACCACTGTGTGTTTCGTGAAGTTCTGGAGTCTCTCACAGAAGAACAAGTCTTCTCAGAAGAACAAGCGAGTAAAGACAGACTTATTGTCCATTTTATCCCAAGACAAAAGGGTTTTCCAGAATAAATTTTTTGGATGTCCAGCAATGCCAGTCCTGAAAGTACTGTGCTTAGAGACCTGTGATGCTTACTTTATATCATCAGGGTTTTATAAATGTATGCTTGCTCAGTTGGAAATGCCTAGTTCCTTCAGGATACATGCTGCTTGCCTTAGGCAAACAGCTACCTAACATAGGGCTACGAAAAGCAGAGCCTCATGCTGAATTCTGAGTTTGTATTTTGGAATTGTCCTGAGTTCTGCCAGCTGCCTTGGTAATGACTATGATGGTTACCTCCTGGGAGGGATGGTTGTGTGGAGCTCAGGTGTTTTGTGGAATTATGCCCAGGGTTGTCTCAATACTGGCTTTGTTTGTAGGTTGGTGGGCTGCCTCACAGTTTTGTCCCCCCACAAAAACCTGAGAGCACTTGATTGTTAAAAAAGAGAAATAGTCTGAAAATTTCTCTTAAAATGTACCTTCTTGTGCCGTTATCCAAAAACTGGCTTCTGTAGTACTGATGTGACTCATCCGACCATTTTGGGGAGAACTTAGTAACTTCCACTGCCTCTTTTCTGCTTTTGTTTCTTTTTAAAGCTACCTCTCGCAAAAGGAAGCTGGAACTTTCTCCCACCTCTTCTGATGACGAGGATGAGCAGGTCCCAAAAAAGCGTAAAGCTACTTCAGTAAGTATTGTGGGTTGTGACGGTTTGTTTTGTGCCCTGACTTGAGTGTATTTACAGTGGCATATGGGAGGTTAGATGGAGAACAACAAATGTCTTTGTGTTGTGCTGATATGTAAGCAAACGTTGCTCAAAATGACAATAAAATAACTGATTGCACTGTCCATTTGAATCGGCTGTGAAATAGAAGTAAAACATAAATCATCCCAAATTGCCACCAAATTAGTTTTAGTTTGAAGAAAGAAATCTTCGGAAGGAGCTGCCATATATGTGAATTTTGGCATGCAGTTTCCACACTGTATGGGCCTTTCAGGCAATGAATGCCACTATGCCAGTAAGTAGAGATCGAGTCTAATTTTGAGCATGGTTTTAGTGTGAGGAATCATTCCTACCCCTTTGATTTGTCTTAAGTGCTTTTGCTATTTAGAGCTGCTGCTAAAAGGTAAGCAATACTGGACTGGGTGTTTATTTCTATGCTTGTAATTCATAGTAAAACTAACTAGTAGTTATGTCTTTTTTTTTAATTCTTTTAAACATAGTGGGATGCACCCAAAGCCCCCAGGGCATGGCAGAAGAAAGAAATTCTCGTGAAGAAGCTGAAGAAAGCTTTCCCTGAATTGGCAAGGAAGGTGAGCTCTCGACTCCTGAGGATAGATGCAACTTTGACAAGGTCAAAACCTCGGCCGAAGTTTGTAGTTGTGCTGAGGATGGTTTCATTAGGACCACATGTAGTCGGTCACTTTAGCCTTAAGAGATTCTCAAAATATCATGTTCTCTGCTAATAGAGAGAATCTCCTTGTGTTGCTAATCCCCATGCTCCCTGCTCCCAGCAAGAGGAGAAGTTGGCAGTCTTTTAATACTGTTCCTTCAGTATTGGACCTACAGTCTGAGCTACAAAGTGCATTTCTTATTCTCTATTATATGTCTACGGAGAAACAAATGTGGTTTTTTATCGTTGTTGTTTTATTTTGCCTCCCAGGAGCTGAGAAGTGTGCTGCAGGAGCACAACTGGGACTTCCGTGAAGCTCTCGAGTCCCTCAGAGTATTCTCAGAAGACCAAGACAGTAAAGACAAACTTATGCTCCATTTTAACCCCAAATAAATGAATTTTCCAGAATATGTATTTTTTGATATTCAGGGATGACTGTGGTGATCATGGAAAATAGTCCTTAGGGGAAGGCAGAAGAGGGAAACCATCTCGTTTTCAATTGTAGTGTCTTCCTTTCCTTGCCTCTAATCCCCTTTGGGAGTAGAGATGGATATTTTTCCTGTACTGAAGATTGATTAACATGAAAAGTGGTACTTCTATGGCAAGATATGCTTATATATATACATATATATATATATATACACACTGCAACGTGCTGAATTTGGGAGAGCTACTCTCTTTTTGATTGGTTAAAAATAAAGGCTAGTTTTTCTAACTTGAGTAACCTGTAAATCGGTAATTAAAAGTGACTTTGTAGGTTGCACGTGACACAAGCTGTTTTGCTCTTGAGTCATTGTTTAGGGGAGGGCCATATTAACAGTGGTCCTTCAGTACTGCAGCGCATATTCTATATAGCCGCTTTATCGAAGTGCACCCTGGATGTGGTAGGGAGATGTAGAGATAAAACGGGACATATACACAGCTTTTCAAGTGTCCACGTCCGTTCTGCTAAGCCATAGCTAGAATGCTTTTAAACATTGGGGTTTTATAGATGTGTGCTTGCTCAGTTGGCAAGACCCAGTTCCTGCAGTTGCCTGACAAGTGCACCCTTTTGATGTCTCTCCCTTAATACTGTACTGAGATAGGAACTTACTTTTACCCTTTGATGGTATTTTGGGGCACCACTATCACACAGAAAGCACAGATGCGAATAGTCAAGCTCTCAAAGCTGCTGTGCCTCCAAGTTCCTGAACTTTGTGGGTATTGCATTAGTTAAAGCATTGTGCTCTTTGAGCAGTGTGCAGACTAACATTTTTCAGCTTACAGTTGCTTATTTTAGTGTTTAAATGCACTTGCTCGGTGCCTGTGCCGCTCTCTGTGTTTGCAGCACCCGGTGCTGTGGACTTGGGTAAACCCAAAGTTACACAGATGTTGTGGAGAATGGCAAAATGTTACTTATAGCATTGTACAGTGAGGAAACTGTCACACTTTAGCTACTGAAACTGTTTTCTTTTTCTCTTTATGTGTGTTTATTTTGTAAAACAACTGAGGTCTGCTTTGTCCTTAAGGAGTATGCATTGAACTTGTTCCTTTTTGTTGTGTGCATAGGTACGGGACATGCTTCCAGGAGTGAAGTTACCAATAGGGAAGAAGTCTCTGGAGAGGCAAGAACTGATGATACTGAAGGGACACCGAAACAGGAGCCACCAGAGGAAGACCAACTGTTGCCTGTGGAGGAGCCACTGTCACCAGTTGAGAAGCGGGTGACAGGAGGGCCAGAGCAGTGGTCACCCAAAGAGACCAATGGCCTTAGGAGAAAAGCTAAGGGGAAGAAAAGCACATGCACTGGGAACCACYCAGTAGAGGACAACTCGGATTCAGAGACAGACAACTCGCTGGACGAAGACTATGATAGCGAGAATGAAACAATGGAAGAATTCTACCGAGTGCAGGTGCTGAGCTTCCTAGCAGATGCGTCACCAGCTGAACTGATGCTCATTCCCCGCTGCTCTGAAAAGAAAGTGGAGAAGCTCTTGACACTAAGGCCCTTTACCACCTGGGACACCCTGGTAAGCCCGTGCTCTTGCTCCAGGGTCCCCAGGAGCCTGAGCCCAGGAGCCTCGAGCCTGGGCAGGCCCCGCGGGGCGGCCTCCTCCTGACTAGGCTGAAGGCGAGTGYTCCTTGCAAGCCAATAGCGTCTGGAAGAGCGTCCTATGAGCTGGAGCAGAGCGAGGGAAGGGGCGATTTTGCCGAGAAGCTCCAGCTCATTGGCCGACCTGGCTGTCAGTCAGTGTGTAGCCAGGGAGCTGGGGTGATTCCTCTGCAGGAGGAGAGAACAGGAGAGGAGAGCAGAGGAGAGCTGAGCTCAGGTCTCCTGGAGGAAGGGGCTGCTGTGAGTGCTTGGCTGCCAAACCATGCGGGGGTCGAGGACGTGGCAGGGCTTTTGCTGCAGCTTCTTGAGGAGCAGCAGCAGGAACAGCAGCTCCTGGGGCTGCTCCATGATGGAAGATGCCAGCTTGGATATTTCCTCCATAGGAGAAAGAGGAGTTGTCTGTTTCTCTTTTTCTTTTTCCTTTCTTTTTCTTTTTCAATACCTGTGCTACAGCTAAGCCTCCACATGGCTTTGCTAGCAAAGCACTGCAGCCATTTTATAGAGGCGGCAGCTAGTGTGTTTTCATGAAGGAAGGAAGGTTTTTATGAAGGAAGGAAGGTTTTTATGAAGGAAGGAAGGTTTTTATGAAGCATCAGGAGGCTGTAACGCACCCTGCAGAGCAGAGGGGGAGGAACCGCAGCTGCTGGTGAGTAGCCTGTGCCCTGGATGGTGCTTGCAGTTGTTTCAAGTGGCGTGGTGGTTTCCTCTGCCCTGGGCTTCAGCAGCCTGAAGGGCATCAGTGCGGACATGGACAACATTGTGATAAGAAATTTGAAGTCCATAAGTAAAGGTTTTCATAGTTTAATATGTTAAAGTTTGGAGTTGAAAAACAGAAATGTGTGTAGGCCTTTTTTTWAAAAAAAAAAAAAAAGTAATTGGTGTGTTTTCATTTTGTTTTGTTTCTAACTAGTGTTCTTACTAACTACCACCCCTAGCTGAGGTATGCAAGATTTAATTTTAATTTTTCAGGAAAAAAGAATACTTTATTCCTCCAGTCAGTCCAGTCTCTTCACTTGACAATTTGCTCTGTAGAGTTCCTTCCTGGCTAACAGTGAGGGATACAAGGCAGAGTTTTGGGGAAAGAAAAGGGTCTTTGGGGGGAAATGAAGAGAAGAAGATGGTAGGGAGAGGAGAAGATAAAGTGCAAATATGCTGCAAAGAAAGGTGTTTTGCCCCGAGCCTTAGGCTCCTCGGAGAACATCTGCCATAAAGCAATCCCTTAGTGAACTTGTTGGGTTTTGCCTGAGCTTAATTCTTTGCAGAAATATTTGCTACGGGGGCTGTTCTCGGGCTGTTCTCCTTTGCTCTCTGTCACGTGTGGAAGAGAGGAGAAGCTGTGTGGGCCTGTTTGCAGTGAAAACCCTTTGAGGGCCAGATTGCTGCTGTCAGCGAGTGCATATTTACCCAGGACTGTGAATACTTGTCCGGGGGAATTGAGACTTGCCATGTAATTGAGCAGATGTTTAATATCAGTGTGGATTATTTTAAAGAGATTCTGTGAGCCAATGACCCAGATTTCTTCCTACGAAGAAGGTAAAGGGATGGTAGAGCTACGTAGAGAGTTGCATCTTTTTTAGCATGAAAACTATTGGCTTAGCTTTAAAATACATGTTTATGCTGCATATTTCTTTTGTAGCAGAAAGTAAAACTGTTGCTGCTTGTCCATGGGTAGAAGGTCTTGGGGTTTTCAGGCTGCCGTGAAGACCAAGTACCTGAATGTTAGGGTTCATGGACTCGCTTAAGAGCTTCCTAAATTCAGATGTTCAGAGTTGGACATGTTTAGAAATGTGTGTTGGGAATGGGTTGTAGGGAAGCTTACTTCCTTGTAATTTGAGTGCTTGATTCTAAGTGAAATGTAAAATGATAGATTTTTTGGACGCCTTCCTACAAGCTGGACCTATTTGGCCCCCCCCAGTAGCYCCCCGGGCCACCTGAGGATGTGTTTTGTAGCCTACGTGATGCAGCAGCACCTGGATTCTTCCACCTGCAGAGCAGTGGCTGTAACTTTTCTTGTTGTAACTTGGGGAAGAATGTTAACCAGCTGACATATAATAATACTTTTATTTTTTTTTTAGTAACAGATGTCTGCTTTCCCCATGCCTTTATTTATAGGTAGCAGGACTTGTGTTCATGCCARCCAAAGCTTTAGGCATTGACACAAATGTTGAAATTTGTAATCTCTCGCTAAACATCACGTTCTTTGTAAGTCATTTTATCAAAAGGTGTCTGCTTAGAAAGCGTGTTTGCAAGCGCTGACATGAGTGGCTCAGCCAGATTTAGCCGCGTGTTGGTCGACTTTCTGGATTTTTGTATAAAGCAAACAAAGGAGCAAACCTGCCAAAACCTGGGGATTTTAACTGTGCAGGCTGTCAGCAGAGGGCATCCCTCCTGCTGGGATTTTTGGAGTGAAAGCTCACCCTACTGGTAAATCCAAATAAGTGACAGATCCAGAGGTTCTGGTGCTTGSCTCCACTCTTGGATTTCCTGACTGTTCCGGTACAAACAGCAGATCATATCCGTCCTTTGCAGTGAAACAGTTTTGTGCATAAAGATACTCTGATGGTGTCTAGCACCAGCTACTATCTATTTATGAGAAGATTTTTGCCTTTCTATGGGTGGTATAGTTTATAAAGTTTTTTTTTTGTATGTGTGTGTGTGTTTGTTTATTTTGCAGCTAGCCAAAATAAATGAGACTTCTGGACTGTCAGAAGAAATAATATGGAACTGTGAGACACTGCTMAGAGAGAGGGCTGTGGTCCTAAAAATAATGAATAAGTGTGAAGACCTCTCCAATAAACTCACCACGCAAGTAACTAACATCACTGAGGACCGAGCGTGCGGATGGAACATCGAGCAGCCTTCCATTTTGAACCAGAGGTATCTTGACACCTTTTGGTATTTAACTGAGTGTTAGATAAGGAGGTCTGCTTGAGGGCCAGCCTTTTATAACTTGTCACCTTTGGAAAGGTAGAAATGGCCAGAATAGCAGGTGTTTATTAGAGGCAAATAGCAAAAGGATCTTCAGCTGTGCTCGAACGTGAGCTCAGAGGGGAAGGGAACCATTTAAAGGGAGTTTATCCGTAGGGCTCCTCCTKGGGCAGAAATGGTGAGGTAGAGGAGTTACTGTGAAGTGTGTTTAAGAGCATTGTCTGAGTTTGGGGTTTTTTGGTACTGTGACCACAAGTGTGTAACAAAGCTACATTYGTATTGCAACTTCTACATGTTGCGTAATTTTATGAATTTAATAACTAATGTCTTGGATCAGTGATGTAACACTTAAATGAGGAATTTATTGGAGAGCTTGTTTTGGTAATTTAAGGTATACAAGGATGGAGATAGACTAGATAGAAAGTTGATAAGTGCTCTTCAGTATCCTGTTGACTGATTAAATAAAGGTTGAAGTGTTCATCAGTTGTGTAGGGGGTCCAGAGTGGGTTAAAATACAGCAAACGTTAAACTAGTTAAGTGATAAATGTGCAGATGCGTTTCATGGAGTAATAAAGATGATCTGATGGMAAACTCTGCAATTTCTACCAGTTTGAAGCTCAAATCATATCAGAAGATTGGATTGAACTGGTTAGCCCTTCTGCATCAACATGGATTGAATGGCATTTTGGCTGATGAAATGGTGAGTGTAAAACTGTTTTGGGGAGAGACTTGTGAGTGGGGGGGCATGGGGAGCAGTGCTTTYTAGAAGGGTTGTCTTTAGAATTGCTACAGGTGTTTTGAATGACTTAGGATGTGCTTGTCATTTGCAGTAAGGGAGTGAAATTCTAATTTGTTTTAGTTGACTTAAACTCCAAAGAGTTTGGCGCAATGTTTCTATGACTTCTCACATTGGTAGCTGCCTAACTCTCGTTTGATGTGAAAATAAAACATAGCATAAATTATTGCTAGAACTAGTGATTGAGTGGGTGTCAGATATGAAGTGGTGTTTTGTGAGACTTGAGGTTCATCCGGTCCCATGGAACACAAATGCGTTKGGAAAGCAGTTTTTCTGTTAGATGCTCAAGTCTGAACAGTTAGCTTTGTAAGAGCATAGGATTCATGGTCACTGCTACTTGCTCACTGTCTTTGGGTGGAATGGCTAGTATGGTGAGAGATTATCACATAATTTGTTTTTGCATCTGTTTGCCAATAGCTTAAATACGTTACGTTTGTCCAGCACTTGCTGACAGCGAGCCCTTATCTTCTGCAAATCCCTATCTCTTTCAATAGATATAGAACAGTTTTTTTCTATGAAAATTTGCAAACGTGYAGTTAGTATGGACTACATTGTAATGAGTAGAAAGGCCTCCTATTTTCTAGAGACCATAAATTCTGTTTCAATGCTATTTTTCTTTTCTCGTAGGGTTTAGGAAAAACCATTCAAGCTATTGCCTTTCTGGCTTATCTCTACCAAGAGGGCAATGAAGGTCCCCACGTGATAGTTGTGCCAGCTTCAACACTAGGTAAGTGAAAAGCTTCTTAATGACGAAAAGAAAGYCATGGACAGATAGTCCAATGAAGATAAGTTTTGTGAAAGAAGCTTAATTATCACGTGGTGCTATTCAGTTCCAGAGATGGACTGGAATGTGCACCATACGAGAGACATGCTTGCTCTGAATTTGTTAGGCTTAACATATTTTTCATATGCAATATGCTGTATATGTGTCACAAAAAAAAATGCTTGTTTGAATCTGAACTGGTTTAGTTGCGTAGTCTTGCTGAAGCTTGGCTGTAATCCCAGGCTTCAGGCTGCGCTTAGCAATAGTTTTTCTTGCCTTCAAAATGCTTTATTGTCGACCCCCACACAAAAGTGAAGAAGCTTTTACTGCACAGAATTTGTTTGAAAACAGAGCAATATGCTGGAATGATGAGGCTAATGCTGCGTCTTTGTTATTTAAAGCCTCTGCTCTGAAGGAGGAAAATCATTGTGCAGTAAAGCTTAGATGGGTAAAGCCAGTGAGGATTCCTAGTAGAGCGTAGCTTTCTCTAGCGTGAGTTCAAGTGGCTTTGCTGAACGCTTCTTGGCAAGAGGAAAAACTCATCTTCAAGTCAAGTATGTGTTTGGACTTCAAAAGAGGTTTCGTAAACTTCAGGATGGGTTTGAGGAATTTCTGTTTTAAATGAGATTTTTTTAAAATTAAATCCTGAAGAACGCTGGGTTCTCTTACTGTGTTTGAATTTGCCTAAGATTTAATAARCTACAGGTGATTGAGATGGTATTTATTGTGGTGTTGTGATTGTTTTTGCAGATAACTGGACCAGAGAAGTTCATCTGTGGTGTCCTGAGCTGAGGGTCCTTTTGTATTACGGTGAGGAATAAAATCTAGAAATGAATCCAGGAATAATAGAGTTGGGTGCTTTTTAAGCCTACAGAAGTCGATTGCTCGTGGAGCATTGCATGCAGATAATTGGTTTAAGACAGATGCCTAAGGCCAAGTATTTTCTCTATGTTTGTCCCATCTTTTACCGTTTCTTAACACTCTGTGCCCATTGTTTTGTGCTTTTTAGGATCCCAAGAAGAGAGGAAGCGTCTCAGGTTGAGGATTTATAATAAAAGTGAACATTTCAATGTGATTATAACAACGTAAGTAGAGCAATTAAAATTACAAGTGAAATTTGGTTGACCCCTCCTGACCTCTAGTGGTAATAGTAGAAAAAGGCTGGTTCTGGAGCTGGTTCAAGGAGCGCTTGAATTGCTCCAAAGCGCACGAGAAGCCGTTTGCTGCTTTTGCCTTATTTGGCAAGAGTCAGAACCTGTTGGAAAACTTCTTTTCAGTATCATTGCAATGATGCAGATGGAAAACATTCTGACCTGTCCTTYTTTTGCCTTATTTTATTTTTGATAATGGGTTATTTGAGGTTTTTGGTGAGTTTTGCCTCACGAGGTGAGCTATAATTATCTGCTAGCTGTAAGTTGTCCTAGCTAATTATTTCTGCGTGGTGCTGCTTAGGGCACCTAAGGTTTCCCTCTGTGGATCTTCCGTTATGTAGGCCTAGTGTGTTTGTGTTAAGCTTGGTTTTAATGTGTTCTCCTGATACATTCCCTCCCCAGGTATAACTGTGCAATCAGCAGTTCAGATGATCGACGACTGTTTCGCCGTCTGAAGCTGAACTATGCCATCTTTGACGAAGGCCACATGCTGAAGAACATGAATGCCCTGCGCTACCAGCACCTGATGACCATTAATGTAAGGGAACTAGCTGCTGGGGTGCATTTGGGCTAGACTAAACCCTCAGGAGTTCAGACTGGCATTTTAGACATGAGCCAGGATCCTTTTGAAAACTGCCAAGTTTGATTCAGGGTTTTCCTGTAATTATTTTGGTATACAGTCATCATAATCYTAAGATATAATAATTTAAGCAGCATTTTTCAAGACTAGTTTCCTGTGATTGAAAGCTTATACGTAGTCACTTACGAAAGACACGACATGGGAGCAACAACTAATTTAAAAGCAAATAACAAAAAACCACTACCCTGATAGAGCCAGGTTAAGCTATAAGTATTCTTGAATCGTTAGGGGCTGAGGTCTTCACAGATCCCTAAATCATTTTGTTGTCTTCCCCAGAAGATAATTCTGCTAGACGTATGTGTATTTTAACTTGAAAAACTTTTTTTTTTTTTTTTTTTTTTTTTTAAATGAAGTTAAGTCAGGGCAGGTTTTTTTAGCTCTCTGTTTGTTGGTTGTTTTCCATGACCTTTTGAACGAATGGTTTTTACTGCTTCTTTCCTTTTTGGACAAATAGGCCAAGAATCGCTTGCTGCTAACAGGAACTCCTGTTCAAAATAATCTGTTGGAACTGATGTCTCTTTTAAATTTTGTCATGCCACATATGTTCAGTAATAGCAAGAACGAAATCCAAAGGATTTTCTCTTCAAAAGCAGTAAGTATTAGCTTTTCTCTTTCTGATTTTTTCCTTCTGCTGTCAGACTCCTGTTCCTGCATAGCTACTGTTGGCATCTTATGGCAAGAGATAGAGAGATTATAAAAATTCAGGATCTGAAACAATGAAATAATCCCTTTCAGCTAGAACTGTGACATAACGGGATGCTGGAGACTTGTAATGATCCTATGAGATCTGTTTCCTCTGTCTCCTCCCTCTACTTTCCATTTAGCCTAGTCAAGGCCATATCATTAGAGCTGGAAAAGGACACCCCTTAACTGAACTTTTGCAATATTTTCCTTAGAAGACTGTTGAAGAACAAAGCCGGTATGAACTGGAGAGGATTGCCCATGCCAAACAGATAATCAAGCCATTCATCTTGAGAAGAGTAAAAGATGAGGTAATATGTTCTTTAAAATAATACTCGGTGGTGGCAGTATCCAAGGCTCATGAGGAATAGAATGCCCCATTTGTTCAGGGATAGTTTGACTGTGGAGAGGARGGAACCTGCAAGGACCTTGGTATCGTGGTACTGCTCCTGGCATCCAGTGAATCTGTTTCACTTGGGGCCTGCTGCYTTTTCCTTCTGACTCTAAACCATCTTTGAGCTACTTGTCATCCTCTGAGAGTTGTCAAGTGAAAACATGACCTGCGTCTGTGACTTCTGTGACTTTTTGTGTTTTATTGCTCATTACTTAGTGGCTTTTTGCATCTGTGAGAGATTATTCGAGCACAGTTAAGTAGAGCTCAATAGAGAAATGTTCCAGCTGAAGCACCAAACTGTTCCTGATTTGATAGTAATGTGCTGCTCCCTCCAGAAAGAATTGGAGTAGTCTCTCACTGCACTTGTTGCGCAGTGAGTAGTTAGTGGTTTTCATAGGAATCCCTGGCTAGAGGRGGAGTAGGTTTAGAGTATAGTGGGTTTTGTGCAGTCTTGAAGTGCACGGAGGATGTTACTTCACTGGCTTTTCTTGTTTCTTTTTTTTTCACTAATGAAAAATGCAGTGGATACTCTGAGTTTGTAAGTATATCTGCTTTCCAGTAGGCAGCTTCTTATAAACTGACTTGTTAGGTAGTACATTACTGCTGACTGCTCACTAAAATGAAGTTTTTACCTGATGCACTTTGTTATTAAATATCTTTTCAGGTCCTTAAACAGYTGCCTCCGAAGAGAGATGTCATTGAACTATGCGACATGTCCGAGAAACAAGAACAGATGTACTCTGACCTTGTCAACAAGCTGAAGAAAACTATTAATAGTAATGGTACATGGCAGTCTTGTTTCTTCTCTCTGGTTGCTTGTTTGTTTGTTTTCATGGCTAAAATTTACAATCATTATATAACTAGCCTTTGCTCTGCAGAAATGTRTTCATGAAGTGACTGTACCCCTTGTGAGAATTATTCTGTATATAAATTCTGTCTGAATGTAGCTTTTTCTGAATATACCTTATATCTTTTGCAGAGAAGAATTCTGACATGGGAAATGTGATGATGCAGCTCAGAAAGATGGCTAATCACCCTCTCCTGCACCGCCACTATTACACGGATGACAAGCTCAGGAGCATGTCCACGCTCATGCTCAAGGTAAGGTGGTAAGAATCAAAAGCAGTCTGCTCTTTCTTAAAAGTATCTGTGTCACTTAAGTTGTTTGTCGTCATTCTTTTGGTCAGAAGTGTCCTTGTCCAGCTTAATTCATTGTTGGTGCCTTTTATTTCTCCGTGGCATCTCTCCAGTGCTCTAATTAAGCTCTGTGTGTGTGGATGTGTAACATACTGTTTTTATATCGGCTCTTGGAATGTAAAGAACAGTTCTGGGACTGTAGTCCTCTCCTTTTTGTTARCCACCCCTTACTGGATATTCTCTCCAATATTTAAGATAGAAATGCTTATGAAAGCATGTTAGGAGGTAGGTGAGTTTACTAGTATTTAGAAGTGTGAAGGATAAGAGATAGGGAAAGCATAAGATACAGCTGGGGATCTTTTCCTGGTTTGTCTTGTGCTAATGCCTGTGGAGTTTGGGAAAAGATGTTCCTTCTTTCTGAAGTATGAAAAACAAAGCCAAAAAGAAAAAACCCTCAAGAATCAGAGCTTGCAGCTAGTGCTTTGTGAAAGTTAGAGCTGGCTTTGAACCTCTGTAGTCTTTTTAAAAAGTCAAGCCAGTCATTTATGTTGTACTGTGGTTGGGGAGAAGGGGGGAAGTCGCACGGTGTTTTGTTTGTGACCCTTTTTTATTCTTGTTGGTACCGTCATCCTCTCCAGATGTGGCTTTTCTTTTCCTCTTTCTTCCAGGCATGCCATCCCACTCCCCAGCCTGCATCTTGGGCTAGGCTTCCCATGTCTTCCACCATCCATGCAAGGATTGGACCTCCCTTTTAGGGAATGTGTCTGAAGGGGAAGAGGTCTGATGCAGGGGTAAAAGCCATAGGGCTTGATGGGTCCTAGATAATGGCTTTGAAGGTAGAACATACACCTAGTTTTTGGTAGCACATGTTGTTGTAAAAGCTGATTTGTGACCTAACGTTGACCCTCTACTATGTCTTGTAAACCTGGGGTTGCAGAGTTCATCTTGCCTTGCCTGCATGAGCCGCGCTCTGGCATTTCTCAATGTCTGATTTAGCTACTCTGTTTTTGTGTGTGTGTGTTTTTTCCAGCAAATTTGGATATGCGTGTGTGTTTATTCTTTTGTCTCGTTAGCAGGATTATGTCTTTAATGATTTCCTCTTCTTTTTGCTACTAGGAATCCACACATCGTGATGCCAACCCTGAGCTTATCTTCGAGGACATGACAGTAATGACGGATTTTGAGCTGCATTTGCTTTGCAAGCAGTATGCTCATGTCAACAACTTTCAGTTAGAAATKGATCAAATTTTGGATTCTGGGAAATTCAGAACTTTGGAGCGCATTCTCTCAGATCTTAAAAAGAAGGTTTGTATTAGAGAGAGCTCGTCAAAACTTCCTGTTTTGTCTGCCCGTTCACTGGCTCCACRTAGCTGATTAACTTCATTTTTGTGGAATATTGCCTTGTGATTTAGTAGATGTACCAGTAGATGTCAATATTGCCTAGCAGTGCTTCATTTTGATGCAAAATCTTGCCTGTGCACTTCATTTTATGCATAACTACATATTTTTTATGCTTTATGAAGCAACACAATTGCTATTAATGTTACCATTTTTCTGAGTTTTAGAATATTCACCCCGGGTTAACCCTCCTGTCTTAGTATGAGGAGGTTGGTATTGTCTTCACAGCAGATGAACTTTGTGAACACAGCTGCCTTTTGGGCGTTGGAATAAGATATTACCGTGTTAGAAGCCCCACTGCATGTGTTGTGTGTAGGTACTACATGTATGGAAGGCATGAGATGTTGTTACTGAGTCCGAGGTCCAAACTGGCCTGTTTTACAAGTTGAGATGTAGGATAATACTTCAGAGAAAGAACAGGAATACAGGAATACCGCTGTGTGTTGCCCTGGAGTTTTTATCTAGTCATTCATTTCTGATCGCGTGTGCCAGTGCTCTGTATGCCATGAAAATTAACTTCCACAGTTACTGGGGAAATTTGTTTTTTGGTGCTTATGGATGGAGTAGGTCTGTTCTATTTATATGTTTAACTAGGGATTTCAAGGTTTAGAATGACACTCTGTGGCACTGAATAGTGTTTATTCAAGGCAGCAGAAACACTGGCAGGCAGGCTTGACTTCCTTTAATCTGTCATTGTCTTTGAGTTTGGAAAAATGCAATCTAACTAAAATTAGTCTAATTAAAATGACACGTACCAATAAAGCTTCTGTCTAATTGGTCATAATTATGTAGTGTATTTCTAAGCATTTCTTCTTCTTTTTTCTTTCCAGGGTGACCGAGTTGTTTTGTTTAGCCAATTTACGATGATGTTAGATATCCTAGAAGTTCTCTTAGGGCATCTGCAGCTTAAATACATCAGGCTGGATGGAAAAACGCAGATATCCGAGAGGTACGTGGCTCGCATGCTGCAGTTAAGGGAACAAATGGATGTCTGTCTGGGGAGGGGAGGTGGCGGAAGTCAGCGAGTCCAAGTCTCCCTTCATTCTTGACTTTGCATCTGTCACTTGAGAGGTACACTGCCCTGGTCACTGCTGAGGACTGTCAGAACCCATTTCCTTTCTGCCTCAAGTCTTGGCTTGCCTTGCTTTGCAAAACCCCAGTTCTCCTTTGCAAAGCATCATCATCCTAACTTGCCTGTTCATCTCTGCGCTTGAATATCGTTTTCTCTGAGTCCTCACATAGACGTACCTGTGTTCTGCAGGATACATCTAATAGACAAATTCAATACAGATATGGAAATACTGGTATTCCTAATGTCAACCAAAGCCGGCGGCCTGGGGATTAACTTGACCTCGGCCAATGTCGTCATTCTTCACGACATCGATTGTAATCCGTACAACGACAAGCAGGCGGAAGATCGCTGCCACAGAGTCGGACAGACAAGGTAAGATTTCTTAAATATGATGCTTGGTTTTTTGTTGTTGTTTATTTTTTTATTTTTGTTTTTCTAAAACACCACCCCCCTTTGGAGGGCTTGCCTCATACCGCAGGCTTCATTTTAAGCAGAGACTAAGTGGTTCATGAGCTAGGTAATTGCAGTGGTCTTAGCTCGTCCTGCTAGCAGAACAAACTTGTCTTTATGCTACTTCACTTCCCAGTTCTGCAGAGCGTTCTCTAATTTCTAGTAGTAGGAGCTGACACAGATCCAAGTGCATCCACTGCAAAGCCTTTGACACCCTTTGGCAATGCCATTTGATCTCTTGCGAAGACTTCTAATCTCTCAAGCGGCCCATGTRTCCCAAAGAGTGAAGCAACCCTGTGTCCCTCAGATGGGAGGAGTGGGCTGATGGAAGCGATGGGATGTGCTCAGTAGCAGGACTGGGGGAAGGGGATGGTGGACTTTGGTAATGCCACTTTCGAAACTCTTCGGATGGAGGTGGCTGACAGCACAGGGGAAGACAAATTTTCTGGCAGTACAGAGAACAGGAGGTGCAAAGAGAAAACCGAGAGCTCGGCTCTCGCCCTCGGCTGTGGTTCTTTTCCTTGCTTTAAACCATTGCTAGCTGAGCAAAGGCTCAGAGTCTGCCCTTTTTCACTAACGCAGAGAATTTGTAAAAATGGACTTACTCTGTTTTGTGTTTTTTAGAGAAGTACAAGTCATAAAACTTATCAGTAAAGGCACTATTGAGGAGTCAATGCTCAAAGTCAGCCAGCAGAAATTGAAGTTAGAAAAAGATATGACTGCAGCTGATTCAGGTAAGCTTATGCAGCACGGCATGATGGCCACATAGCTGCATTCAGGTCACTGCAAGCTAGTTTAAATCTGGATAAACTGGGCCCTTTGTGCAGATGAGCCCATAATGTTTCATTGGAAATAAATTAGAAAGATGCCCTGTACTCATCAGTTGAATTTTCTGCAGTTTCTTTAATTGTAAATGAATCCTGCGACTGTACAGTTTACGAGAGGTTTGTCAGTTTATGTGAAATAGTAAATGCTGTAATAATGTAATTTTGTGCTTTTTCTCTCTTGTTCTGCAGGAGAAGAAGGAGTCATTCCTGCAGATATAGCCAGCTTACTAAAAACTTCACTAGGTCTATAAAATGTCAACATATATGGACCCTAAGGAAAACGGCAATGTCCTCCCCAAGAATTCTTGCATTACTGACCATGAGGTTTATGACATTTCTACGTTTTTGTATTTCTTTATTGTATTTTTCATGGTATTAAAAAATTTTTAGCACTGATGGCATTCTTTTGATGCTTAAAAAGAAAAAGATAAATGGCACAAACATACTGAATCAGATGCCAAATAAATACTGATTTATGGAGCAGTTTTCAAAATGGGGACCTCAGCAGTGATCATTTTAAAAGATCTATTACTGCTTAAGTTTCATCAGTATTTTTATAGTTATTTCTACCTCCAAATATATATATATAAAGATATATATATACACACACATACATATATGTGTGTGCATATATATAAATATGAGAACTGTCTTTTCACTGGATTGTGCATATGGACCTTTATGTGCCTTATTTGAAAAAACTTGAATCTGTTTCTGCTCATTTGGGTCCCTTTGTTGTATTGTTTTGTGTTAGTGTCAATTGGTTTTAATAAAATTCTATAAAGGAATGAAATATTTTCATTTTGTGTTTATTGAGGGTAAAGGGGAGAAATTCTAATGTGGGGGTTAAAAATAAAAGAAGCGGTGTTCAAGCTCGCAGAGGTGCTCCATTTGGACGTAAGTGTTTTTATTCGGTGGTTGCTTGTTAGTCATGTTTTCTTCTACTCAAATCCAAAATGAGCTATAAGCCTAGTGACAAATATGGAGAGTATCATATGCATCATATGCAAGCAGGAAAGATCTGTGAAGAGCAAGAAAAACCCTGGAGAATGTGTGCTGAAAGGAACCCAAGGCTGGAGCTTTCATTGTGGGGAGCCCACCAACCATTACTGGAGTTGATGGTTTTAACTCTTCGTTTCTAGTGAGAGGGGTGTAAGTGGAGGCAGACTTGTTCCCGGCTTCTACTCCACCAAGTCCCTTCTCTGAAATGCATGGAAGGAGTTGGTTAGAGGCTGAGTATAGCAGATCCCTCTGAAATGTGTGTAGATGATTCTAAAACTTGTCAATTGAGACATGAAAATATAAATGTGCATTTTTGATTTCTTTGTTTGTTTTACTATTTTGCACCAGTAGGCTACATAATTTGGATCAGAGGAAATGTGAAAAGGAGCGTTAAGATACGTTCTTGATCTGACCTGCTCTGTCTGTCTGATGGAGGAGGAAATATCCAAGGCAGTATCAATCTGGGCAAAGTATTTTGAGTAAAGAAAATAAGAAAAGGCAACTGTGCTGTGGTTTGAGCTGGTGCAGGACTGTCAAGAGGAAACTTGGGAAACCAAGGTCCTTGCCTGTGCAATGTATCTGCTGCCCAAAGGAAAGGGCTTTTATGTCCCATTGAGCAGTGATTCAAGCGAGTTGCCGCCCTGGTGTTGTCTCTGGGATATCTGTGGGTTCGTGCACATGCTGTGGTGTCATATAACGTTGCTGGACCAGACYCTCACGTGTGCTAACAGCCATGTGACTGCTCCAAATCCTTAGCTCATTTCTGCTCTTCAGGACTGTTGGAAATAAGGTTGCCTTTCACTGCCCATGGAAAATTTGAACCCCCATCATAAAGGTTCAGCTGTGTGCTTTGGAGACACACTTTTTTCTTCTCCTCCATGTGTAAGCAATTGAGATGCCCAAAGGCCCTGCACTTGCTGGGGTTATTTAGTCAGGTATGTGGTGCAGCTGGGGCAGCTGCAGCTCATGGCTCTTTGACCTGAGCTTGGAGAAGCATGTTGGGGTTGAGGACAAAAGATGACCTGTTTGAATGGAGGGCACCTTCAGCATTTCAAACGGTGCAGCTCAGGATCAAATCTGTATGTCTGCAGAGCCATGTGAAGACCTCCTGCATCTTTCCACTGTCAGGTAAGCCTTTGGGGGAGGGTGTGGGGCAAAAAGGTGAGTGTGGGGCATGAACCAAGAGTTCCTGGGCAGGGTGCTCATGTCCCCTTTGCCTTGCTTATTTTTCTTCTTGTTCCTGGCTAGGTGTATGATGCCCCACGAACATGTTCTCTCAAGGCTGGGTGTTCCTGTAATTGTTTGTGAGGTTTGGGCAAACCTTCTGACTCGGATGCTTTACTGGGTGTAATGTTTTTTGTTAGATCCTCAATGAGACCGTGCTTGTAGTGTCAGTAAGATGTGGCCACCACAAGGTGGTGGCAGTGGACCTGAGGAGGAGCAAGATGATAACGGCCATGTTGAGAAGGTAARAAACAAACTTAGACCTGGTAAGCTTGTAGGTCTGTGGGATGTTCCCAAACCTATAATGCGATGGGAGAAAAGAGAGGTGGTTGTAAAGAAGCTGAAGAAAATATTTTCTGGATTGGCCAAAGAGGTGAGTTCTCGTGACTCATGAGGACAAATCTCATTTTGACCTTGTTAGAAATTGGTAGCTGTGCAGAGGATGGTTTCAGAAGGACCAACCCTAGCAGCTCGTGCAGCAAGAACTTGGAGTCTCTAGGGTTAGTGCTTGGGGAATGCAGTTTGCCTTGACCTGAATGCAGGCGGATGCAAGGGAGGCTACGCAGAGCTCCTTGTTCTAGTTTGTGGTCCCGTGGCAAGCCTGGCACTGTCCAATTCGGTGATGTGTTATTAAAATGTGTGCGGGAAAAAAACTCAGATGTAGTCAGTCACTTTATGCTGTGCATAAAAATAAACCAAAGATTTCTCATCTTGATTTTTTTTTCTGAAGCATCTGACCTACAAAGTGTAATTTCTTATTCTCCATTATATGTCTACAGAAAAACATTTGTTTTTCTGTGTGTGTGTATGTGTGTATATTTCATTTTCCCCAGGAGCCCAGAAGTGTGCCGCAGGAAGACAGCTGGGACTTGGGTGAAGCTCTGGAGTCCCTCAGAGTATGGTCAGAAGATGTGTTCGGCATACCCAGTCCCTCTAGGTACCTAACAGGTGCACCTTTTGCTGTCTCTCCCTTAATACTGTACTGAGATGGAATCAAAGAGTAACAAAAGGTTCATCTTTTGGGGGATACGGGACATCACTATCACATAGATGTGAACTGTCAAGCTCTCAAAGCTGCTCTGCCTCTAAGTTCCTGCACTTCATGTGTGTTGCATTAGTTAAAGCTTTGTGCTCTTTGAGCAGCCTGCAGACTAACATTTTTCAGCTTATGGTTGCTTGTTTTAGTCTTTAAGTGCACTTGCTTGGTGCCTGTGCCTCTCTCTGTGTTCGTAGCGCCTGATGTTGCAGACTTCTGCAAACCCAAAGTTACATAGGTATCGTGGAGAATGGCAAAACATTGCTTATGTCATTGTACAGCAAGTCTATGTATAGCAAGTCAACACTGTGTCACATTTTAGATAATGAAACTCATTTTGTCTTTATGTGCTTTTATTTTGTAAAACAAGTGAGGTCTACTTTGTCCTTAAGGAGTACGAGATGAAGTCATTACTTTTTGTTATGCGCATAGGTGCGGAATGCGCTTCCAGGAGCGAAGTTAGCGATAGGCAAGAAGTCCCTGGAGAGGAATGAACTGGTGAGACTGAAGGGACATTGAAATGTGAGCTACCATGGAGGAGACGTGTGGCGGCCCGGGAGTCACCATTGTCCGAGCAGACGTCACCAGCGGAGAATCCACAGTTACCTGTGGGGGACAGTGAACTGAGAGTCATTTGTGGTAAAGTCTCCTTTAGAAGTGGCGGCCTGGGAGTCATCAGTAACAGAGTGAGAGTCACCAGCAGAGGAGCCGCAGTTACCCGTGGTGGACTGGGAGTCATCTGTGGCAGAGCCACCTTTGTGAGTGGCGGCCTGGGAGTCACCAGCAGCAGAGGAGGAGTCACCAGCGAAGAAGCTGCAGTCACTCATGGTGGATGGTGGACTGGGAGTCATCTGTGGTAAAGCTGCCTTTAGAAGTGGCGGCCTGGGAGTCACCAGCAGCAGAGGGGGAGTCACCAGTGGAGGAGCTGCAGTCACCCATGGTGGACTGGGAGTCATCTGTGGTAAAGCCACCTTTGTGAGTGGCGGCCTGGGAGTCACCAGCAGTGAAGCCACTGTCACTAGCAGTGGTGGGAGAGGGAGGGGGGAATCACCAGTGGAGGAGCTGCGGTCAGTTGTGGCAGAGTGGGAGTCCTCCATGGCAGAGCCACCTTTAGAAATGGCGGCCTGGGGGTCAGGAGTGGCAGCTTGGGAGCCACCACTGGCGGAGCAGGGGTTGCCAGCGGTGAAGTGAACRTCACTAGTGGCAGAGCGGGAGCCACCAGTGGAGGAGCTGCAGTCACCTGCAGAGAGTCGATCATGGCAGAGCTGCCCGTAGCAGTGGTGGCCTAGGAGTCAGGAGGGGAGGCCTGGGGAGCCTCCACTATGGGTGGAGTTGGAGTCAGTAATGGCAAAGCCACTGTCACCAGCAGGGAGTGCAGGAGCCACAGTCACATATAGCGGACTGGGAACCTCCTGTGGCAGAGCCACCTTTGCGAGTGGCAGCCTGGGAGTCACCAGTGGTGGAGCTACTGATACCAGAGGAGGAGCTGCCATCACCAGTGGCGGCCTGGGAGTCACCAGCAGYRGATCTGCTGACACCAGAGAAGGAGCTGCCATCACCAGTGGYGATGGCACTGGTGGCCAGTGCCAGGAGGAGCTGCTATCACCAGTGGCATCACTATTTCACTGGACTGTGCGTATAGTCGTTTACATGCCTTATTTGACAAAACTTGAGTCTGTTTGTGCTTGTTTTGGTCTCTTTGTTGTATTGTATTGGTTTAGTGTCAATTGGTTCTAATAAAACTCTCTAAATTTATTAGAGCCCGCCAACCATTACTGGAGTTGATCAGTTTTATCTCTTCATTTCTAGTGAGAGGGGTGTAAGTGGAGGCAGACTTGCTCCCGGCTTCTACTCTACCAAGTCCCTTCTCTTAAATGCATGGAAGGCAGTTGGTTAGAGGCTGAGTATAGCAGATCCCTCTGAAGTGCGTGTAGGTGATTCTAAAACTTGTAACCTACAACACTTGTTAATTGAGACATGAAAATATAAATGTGCATTTTTGATTTCTTTGTTTTGCGGTTTTGCAGCCTCCTGTGGCAAGAGCCACCTTTGCAAATGGCGGTCTGGGAGTCACCAGTGGCGGAGCTGCTGACACCAGAGGAGGAGCTGCCATCACCAGGGGCGGACCTGCTGACACCAGAGGAGGAGCTGCTGACACCAGAGAAGGAGTTGCCATCACCAGTGGTGATGGCACTGGTGGCCAGTGCCAGGAGGAGCTGCCATCACCAGTGGCGATGGCATCACTATTTCACTGGACTGTGCGTATAGACGTGTACATGCCTTATTTGAAGAAAGTGGAGAAGCTCCTGGCACTGCGGCCTTTTACCACCTGGGATGCCCTGGTAAGCCCGTGCTCTCGCTCCAAGGTCCCCAGGAGCCTGAGCCCAGGAGCCTCGRGCCTGGGCAGGCCCCGCGGGGCGGCCTCCTCCTGACTAGGCTGAAGGCGAGTGTTCCTTGCAAGCCAATAGCGTCTGGAAGAGCGTCCTATGAGCTGGAGCAGAGCGAGGGAAGGGGCGATTTTGCCGAGAAGCTCCAGCTCATTGGCCGACCTGGCTGTCAGTCAGTGTGTAGCC